CTGATCCATTATAACACCTTTTTTAAATAAACAATCATGATGTTGCTTAATATCAAAAGACTCTGTTCCTCAAATCAACAAGATAACCAATGTGATTAATCATCACCACGTACACAATGTCATCTTGAACAAACAGAACTGTACATACACGCACAAACACAGACACACAAGTTGCTTTCACACCAAGGGAGGCGGCGGTTTCTGTTAAGCGTGACAGATGTGAGAGGCAGGAAGATGGATGACAGCTTTAAAGACGGAGCGAGACGATCAGCGGCACAATCCCTCTCTCTCGTGTGCTTTTGTCTGTCCTTTATTACAAACACTGCGTCAAAGAGAGTCCATCCATTCACTCACATTTGTCATTTTTCGTTCTACAGACGCTGAAGCTCGAGCACAGCGGCCGACACGTGGACTGAGCCACTTAAAAAGCAATTATTGGAAAAAAAGGTCCTGCATGATAAACAGCTCACGGAGCAGTTTCACTCGGTAATTAAAGAGAGTCTGGACGACCTACACCTGAGTCATTTAAGGACAATGAACAGGAAAATACAGAACTAAAGAAATATATCGGTCTAAGAACTGTTGCAAAACGTGTGGGTTAAAATGACTGAGGATATGAGTGCATGAAAACTGACAGTGCACAGTCTTAATGGGTAACAAGTATTTTTTTATCCAGACCATTTATCCCATGTTTTTGTGTCTAAATAACTACTAGGGGTTTTGAGTTAGACGGCTCAACCATTCGGTGCAAGTGTGCACCGCCAATGTACGTCCACTGAAAGCGCTTGTTTTTGCCACTGACAGGCTCAGATTGTTATTATACATGTCTGACAATATTATGGAGATGATCCCTACAGAGATAGAGCTTTTTGTCCAGGACAAAGATCCTTTTTGTGCAACTACAAAACACAAAACTTAACATTGCTAATGCAAACCCACCAGACTCCATTTAAACAAACAGTAATTTTATCATCATGAAACACACTTCATTCAAAGTCGACAGAGGCAAAATAAAACAAAAAAAGCCATCTTGGTTCATCTTTCGACTGCTCTAACAATAACCAACTCTAGTTTGGTTGGAATTAGTCTGAGTGAGCAGAAGTTCGCTGCACAGATCAGCCTCTCATGGGGCGGAACGAGCCACCCGCTGAAGTCCTGCCCTACCACCTCCGGTTGTGTAGCAGTTTTCAACCGTTTTCAACACGTCCTTTACTAACTTTTGTGGTGTTTGATCTTGCGGGGATGTAGCCATTTTTCTGCCATGGTTCGCGTCCTGTAGGCGATATTTTTGTGGGCGCGCTACACCAAAACAAAATTTTTGCAAAATATTTTTGCAAGCACACCGTTGCTGTGGCACCGCCCAGAACGATTGTGATTGGTTGAAAGAAATAAAAAAAGCTGGGGCGTTTTTTTCCTCCAATCTTAAAGTGAAAGTCTGCGCAGCCAGACCTTTCTTTTCTTGAGAAAGGTCTGGTGAGCGAGACTAGGTTGGAATAAACCCTTAATTCCCCCAGTTAGATGTAAAAATCTGCTGGCTCTACACACGCTAAAATTACTCTTAATTTAAATGGCGTCTAGTGGGTTTGGTGTTTTGGGGTTGTTTCTGGTTAATTGAAAAGGATCTTACTATTTGACAAAATGTCTATCTCTGTAGGGGTCCTCTCTATAAATTGTCAGACACTTATATTAACAATCTGAGCCTGTCAGTGGCAAAAATAAGGGCTTTCATTGGCTGTACATTGAAGGTGCACAATTGCCCCCAGTGGTTACATTGCTGGTTTGCTGCTGCTGGTCTCTCGCCCAGTACTGGACCAATTTCAAAATCGCTTCTATTGCTTGTATGATAACTAGATGGATACACTGTGTGTGATATTGATCATAAACTACTTTTATCTACACGTATCAAAACTGGATAGCATTGTGTCCTTTAACAGCTGCCACTCCTGTTTCCTACAGTCCTCCACAGCCAGTGACAAGACAACAGGCTCTTTGTATCTGTGCTGCCACACTGATGCGCATCTTTATGGGCATTAAATAAACAACACAACATTTCAGTAACATTCAGAAAGGATGACACTGTTTCAAACCGTTTAACGACACAATTCTGTGGTCGCAAGAATTTCTCAGAAAAGTGATTTAACTTGTCACCGCCCGTTTATTGTCGGGGCTTCCCATCACTGTGCAGGTTCAAGTTGAGTGCTTTCACTGAGTTATCCTTCACAGCAGCTACTTGGGTCACTTTATCAGCTGTGTTCACAATATTAGCGAAATAATTGGCCGTCAGTACAAAGAGGAGACATTCAGGGACTCTCAGAAATGTGTGGAAACAAAATGTAAAGCCTTATTTTACACCCAGGCAATGCCGAAGAGAAAGATGAGCTAGCTAACTACTAGCACAGTTGCGCCAATGTCAAGCTAAAGACGGCAAACAAGGAGACTTCCGGTAGTCACTTTCAAAATAAAATACTACTCGTCAACATCATAAACTAAGCAAAGATAGGCTAAGCTAAGACTTTATTAACAGCAGCTCAAGGGTCAGAAGCAAGAGGGAAGAAATGGAAAAGTGATTGAGTGCTAAAAGGATTAAAAAAAATACAAATAAGATAAATTAATATATCTATAAACACCTTTCACTTGTACAAAGATGAATAAGTCGATGACTGATGGTTGCATAGGATAACTGAACACACATGGTGTGTAGTATATTTACTGTTAATGAATAGAAATATAGCCTACAAATGTTTTTTGCACAATAAGTTGTAAATTATTGCATGGTAGGAAACTGCACAGCCATGATACACAGAATAAATAGGATGTAGATGTACGTATGATTGCGTCCAAAGATTGACACTGACATTTAAGATGTGACTTTGCAAAGTTTAAATAACATTACTTTTATTCCATCTTGCGAAGGGCTCTTTGCATGAGTAAAGTATACTCTCAATCAACAAATATAAGATGATACATGTGTTCCTCAGGGTCATTGTCCTGACCTGTGAGACCTGTGAGTCGTTGGCACTTTTTAATCTATATCGCCATGTAAAAAAAGGCATTTTATTTTTTGCAAAAACCCTACAGTGTGCCTTGGGTTGTTATTGAAGGAGATCTGCACTTTACATTCTTATATATAGTATACTTTACGGATGCAATGAGCGCTTCATGAGATGGAATAAACACAGTGCACCTGAAGTATCCAGGGAGCACCTGTATGTGACTACTACTACTCCTTTATCATCATTATTATCTTTATTTAATGGACTTATAATGCAGAGCGTAATGCTGTTTTACTTTCGTTCTTTAAACCTGAATGCTATTGAGTCAAGGGTTAGTGAGAACGGGAGCATAAACATCAACAGTATGGTCATAGCAGCAAACATAAACAATCAAAATGAAACTGAGCAGATCATACTTTTGGTAACTGACCACATTAAACCGTGCTTTTATTTTCCTAGGACGTTTTCACGAGCTGCTGGTATGGCGCTAGCTCACTGTGGCTACCTTCACACACGTTTTGCCGTGGAAGCACCCTGCAGATCGTGACAGCTAGCTGTTAAACACACTGTCGGCTCAGTGGCTAACGTTAGCTGCTAGCATGCTATAAATCATACCTTGTACTTGTCGAAGCCCGCGAGCTGGTCCTGAGTGACATATTCGTAAAGAGCCATGGTGGCGCTGTCTGGCTCCCCAGTGAGATAGATATATATCTCTTGCCTTTGGAAATGTAAGTCCCAACCGTTAGCTGCCCACTCGAAGCACCATCTAGCTTAGCCGCTGTCGTTCACGCCGGGTGAGGCGATGTCGAACATTTGGGCCCCTCCTACGGAGCGTGAGCATCCAGTTGGCCGGAGCTCACTAGCGCCCCCTCTGGCCTGGAGGTTTGCGATTAAAAAAATAGGAAAAACGTAATTTAATCCGCTCGGATGCAAAAAAAAATGATATTATTTTAAATAATTATTGTGTCTCTAGAGAAAACAATATGAATAACAGTTGCTGATGTGTCGCATTTTTGTTTTATTTGTGTTAATTCATCACTACGGTCTGATTTCTATTTCTACGCTCTTAAACGTGACGTGGCGTTCCGCTCCGACCGGAAGTTACAGACAGATCTGCTTGTTTGGTGCTGAGCAGCTAAAGTGTCGCTCAAACCGGGAGAAAAAGCCAAAATTAAGTCATAACGTAAGTAATAACATTAGTGAAACACCATTGCAGTATGTTTAATTTTGTAATTTTCTTGAAGCTTTATATGTAGCATTCTCTGTGTTGGTCAGTTCAGACAGTGCTGCTTGTATTAGCTAGCTAGCTAGGCTAACGTTACGCAGATTGATTTTTCAAATAAAACGTCACCATGTAATCACTGATAAAGTAATGATTTGTACTCCGATAGATCAGATTATTTTCACATTCACACGCAAACAATGCATGTATAGAATCCAGTGAGTGGCATGTCAGGTGTTAGCATAGCACTGCCTGTCAGATGTTTATTAACTCATATTTACATAGCACATTTCATGACACGTAGACTTAAAATGCTTTACATTGATAGCAACATATAGAGGAAAATACGAGAGCATAAGACACATCAACATATATAAGAAGTGAGTATAAGCATGAGTCATTAACATCAATCTTTACTTCTGGTTTTTTGAATGATTTTTTCTTCTGTCCAGGCAGCCATTTATTGCATTTTCCCCCAATATAAGGATTAAAAACTGACTTCCTGAGATGAATATCATGCCTACTATTATTGTGAATATTAGATAGCCATGTGTGCAGCTTAACTTCATTTAAATGGATGCAAACAAATGACAGAAAAGTTAAAAAAAAATGCATTCAGATATCTCAAAGATGGACAGAGATGATGCAAAGTAAACATGAGTTAATAGTTAACTGATAAAGCGTGCAAAAAACTAAATTGCTCTTTATCTGCTCTTGACTAAATATACTTTTCTTGCAATATACTTTTTTCATACACTTTTACAAATATGTCTCTATTTTTGCAGAATGGTGACGGACGTGCAGCTGGCCATATTTGCCAACATGCTTGGCGTGTCCCTGTTCCTGCTGGTTGTGTTGTATCACTACGTTGCTGTCAATAACCCCAAGAAACAGGAGTAGAATCCCCACCAATATGATTGGAGAGGTGAGTGCAGTTTATGTCTGCGCTAACATGGTTCAGCACTTTGGTATCTTTTTTTTGTGGTTGCCGATATCTAAGTTTTGTGTTAAATTTGCATGAAACACTCAGAATTAAAGGTCATCACGGCACATGGAGAGACACTTAGACTTTCCAGTTCAGTACATGGCTTTAAGTTGTCATTTGATAACAGAGCATCAGCAAAATGTGGAGGAACCATACTTAACTGTTTGTTAGTGACCTCTCTTAGTCTTGTGTCAAAGTCAAAACAGATTCAACCACAAAACAATTATTCCTTCCAGGGTTGTTTCCTGTGAACCTGCTCACAGTCTTTTCCTCCCCACAGGTGAGATGGGACTCACTGCCACCACCATGGAAACAACATTCCCCACTTCCAGTCCCAAGAGATGAATTTCTTTGTTATATTGCACACTAGTGTTTTTTCTAATAAAAATATGTGAATGCCGTTTGCATTGTTTCACTTATTTCTAAAGTTATTCTGCAGCCTCACGCTTAAGATACATTCTCAATGACTTATTATAATGTTAAAAAAGGAGTTGTTTTTCAAAGTTGATTTATTCAAACTTCACGTTTGATTCAAGTTCCAACACAGTATCATATCAGTCACAGTATAAGTAATTTGGTAAAAATCAGTACATATGTCACTGGGTTTAGGATATGCGTATTACATTTATAAAGACACGTCCTGTAACTGTTTGCTTACACAAAATATTTATGATATGAATATATATATATGTATGGTAATAAATTACAGGGTCTTACACTGGTGAGCTGTGGAGCAAAAAGCTCCAAAGGAATGTGACGGGGAAATTATTTTCAATACACATAATATGTAGTGTGTGTATAAAAGTATTAACACACCCTTTGGACTTTATCAGGTTTCACTACTTTGACTGTTTTACTTTTAAATCACTTGTGTGACAGTAAGATGATGTGGAAAGTGTCTGACATCACAGTTCTCTGGTGGGCTGCGGCAGACGCAGCCACTGCCAGGCTACATGGGATTTGGTGTCCTCTCTCAGGAGGGTCCATTTCACATTGATAATGAGGGTGGCCTGCTGTAGGCAGATTTACACTTGTGCCATCTTTTTTCATTTTCGATAACCGTCCTTATTTTACAGGTGATTTTCAGAGGGCTGGGTACCTGTACACAATACCTTAAGGTGTTCACCGATGTATACGAATACCAAGTAGTAATTAAACTCGTCAAATGATTTTTACATTCATACATCCATACATTGTATGGTTCTGCTTGTTTATAATCACTACAAGTGTTTTTTTAGGTTATTGTTGGGGCTTTTTTGCCTTTAGTGACAGGATAGTTTAAATATTTTGATGCATGGTGGGAGGACGACATGCAACGAAGGGCTGCAGGCTGGAATTGAGCCTGCGGCCGCTGCTGCAGGGACCCTGCCTTTCTATGTGAGGCGTATGTCCTACCTACTGAATGACTGGGCGCCTCCACTGCAAACATCCTTATATTTAATACAATATGTAATAGGCCTACTACTGCAGCAGAGTTGACAGTTCAGTGAGCCGAGCTGCCACCAAAACGCTCCAATGTGAGGCCATACTAAACGCCTGTGATGGGTATCAAATACTCTGGTATCAGTGCCACTCAAAGGGTACTGGTGTCATCATTTTTTTCAACACTACCCAGCCGTACAGCCTTGATTTTTTTTGTTACATTACTCTGATTGGTACTTCTCAGTAGCCTTGTCGTTATCATCCTTTCTAACAAGTAGCTTGACCTTCGAGGCACAGGTGTATTTATGCTACAGTCACTTGTCACACAGAGGTGATCAACACTCAGTCACAATTCAGCTGGCTGGACCAGTGATAACTGTACGAACGGGACTGAATACTCATACAGCTTATTCATTTATATTTGCACTTCCTGGGCTCACTAGTGTTTTAAAATTCACATTTGAGTTTCTTTGCTGTTGTCAAAAATCCTCCTTGAGAAAGTCCATCGGGGATGAATTCCTTTTAGACGCACTATATGCACAACACAAACAACTTCTGGAATAACTGCATTAAATACACACTTCACTCACATTTGTTTCTACAGTCACAATGGAAATCAGGAGGTTATAAAGGTGCAGCTGTGCTTGTCAGCCTGAATAAAAATCAACCCTTTGCTGTAACAGTAAAAATACCTAACAGTGCATTACAGTGTTGGTCAGAGTGCATTGAACATCTTTCTGTGGGAGCAGAAGACAACGACTAGAACTACAAAAAAAAGGGATAGGTGAAGTACAGTAACGGTAGCTGAAAGGTTAAATGATATTTCAAGTCTACGGATTCTTGATCAGGTGGAAAACTTCAGCCACAGTCGTGGTTTCATTGAGCAAGGCACTAAAGCTCAAGCTGCTGCAGTGAAGCTGCTCAGTGGCACCGGGCAGCTCTGCAGTTTGACTATGTTGAATGTCATGGTTGAAAACACCATGTTTGCTCTGTAAAAATCTGAATAGTATGAGAATTGTTGTATTGCACATTAAGATGCCCTCAAATAATCCCTCTGTGATGACAATGCCCGCTCCTGTTTCCTCTAACTGGTTTCATCACATAAAGTAACTTAGGTTCACATTTAGCAGATACGAACACGAGTCTCCTCTTCCGTGCAGTTCCTACGCTTCTCCACACAGCGTCACTGTCTCACACATGTTCACCGCCTCAGGCAGAGGCATCACAGGAGCTTCCTCAACCTTCAAACACAACACCACACAGCCAAGTTTTAATTTGATTAATTCATGTTTTCAGCATTTGTTGACACACAGTCTTTATGTGTCGCTTCTCACCTGTTGCACTGTTTCATCCTGCTCGTGTGCAGTTTCTATAATCGCATTTCCTTTGTAGTGGAGACTCCTGTCTGGGCTCTTCTTCATCAGTGCTTTAGAGGCCAACTGCATGGCGCCCTCTTTCCCTGATACACCTGTAGAGTGAAATAAAAGACACGATAACTGTGGATACGTGCAGAGTGTCATTAGTTTTGCAGGTATTAGGACAAACTGAACTTTGGTGCTGGATCTCAAGGTGCAGCCAGACGGAGGAAGGGGGTTTGGTTTGTCGACCCCAGCATGATGTGGTACTGCAGGCTTCATCACATCGTGACCTAAAGCAGGCACTGGGGCAGTTTGCAGCCGAGTGTGAAGCAGGTCAGGATGAGTCAGTACCTCCAAGTCTGAGGACATGGTAATGGTGGACTGCCCCCTCTGGGTTGGTAGGGAGTTACTGCCCCAAGCAAAGGAGTTAAAATATCTCTGGGTCTTGTTCACGAGTGAGAGTACAATGGAGCGTGAGATGGATCGGCACAGTTGTGAGTACTGTGCTGGATGGTCGTGGTGAAGGGAGAGCAGAGCCAGAAGGCAAAGCTTTTGATTTACTGGTTCATCTACGTCCCAACTCTCACCTGTGGTCATGAGCTCTGGGTAGTGACAGAGAGAATGAGACTGTGGATACAAGCAGCCAAAATGAGTTTCCTCGGAAGGGTGGCTGGGCTCAGCCTTAGAGATAGGGTGAGGAGCTCAGACATCCGGATGGAGCTCAGAGTAGAGCCGCTGCTCCTTCTTGTAGAAAGGGGTCAGTTGAGGTGGTTCAGGCATCTGATCATGATCCTCCTGGGCGCCTCCTGTTAGAGGTGTTCCAGGCACGTCCAAGTGGTAGGAGGCCCCGGGGCAGACCCAGAACACACTGGAGGGATTATATATCTCATCTGGTCTGGGAACGCCTTGAGATCCCCCAGGAAGAGCTGGAAAGTGTTGCTGGAGAGAGGGGCGTCTGTCCCCACAACCCGGCTTCGGATAATAGGTTGAAAATGGATGGATAGACAGATGGATGGAAATTTGGTGCTGAAGGTGGCAACAGAAGAAAAGTGCAGTTATCTTTAATGTCTGTACCAGATTTCATGGCAATCCAGTATAGTTATAAAGTAATGGCCAAATGAAGATGGTACTCTGTTCAACAAAAGGTGGAAAGCACACTAACTGCCATTTCATAAGCCTTTTTCTTTAAATCAAAAGTGCCATGTAGTGGGGTCAATAAATAAGAAAATGGTTCACGAGGCTTCACTTGGACATCAATAGCCGTCGAGCTACGTCAATCAGTGTGAGAGAACATAGGGGATGGCAAAAGTCAGTCGGATACAGTGTGTGAGGACCTCGAATGTCTGTACAAAATTTTGTGCTGAGCCATTTAAGTGGATAAAGAAGTATTTCACTGATTAAACCTGGAGTGTGGGACTTCATATATAAATGAACGTCTGTTACATTCAAGCCCTTGCTGAATGAGTTCACATAATGCTGATTAAGTCTAGTGCCCCCCAAAAAAACTTTAAGTATTTTGTAGTATTCCAGAGTTATGGTGTCACCCTAAGAGTTTCATTTAAGTCATCCATCCAGAGGTGAAGGAGGCAGCACAGGGGGAGTCTGGAGGAAGATCCTTGCATCCATGAAATGTTTCAGGAGTGGACGCTCCAGGTAAGAAAAGATACTCAGTGTTCAGAGGAAGGACGACAGTCAAATATTTGCATGGGGAGACTTGTAAAGAGCGCTCCAGGGGGTGAAGGAGATGTGGCGAGTTCACCTGCAGGCATATGTCATTAACACAGGTAAAAGTTTGTCATGTAAAACCCATCTTTTATTAAATGACAAATCTGCAGAACCCTGTACCTCACTATCCAATCATTGATTAGATAACTGACTCTGGATCAATCAGCTAACAACACGTGCATGTGAATGTGTGTATACATGCCTGACAGCGACAAGTGTCGATGGAGGCCGGGTTTGAGCAGCTTCCAGACCTTCATGGTGGCCGACTCCTCCTTTCCTCCAGATGAGACGGGGTTAATGCTGGTAGGGGACGTTTTACTGTCGGGTGCAGGAGGGGTTTCCGTCGACCCCGCCCTCCGGATGGGGATGCGGCTCAAGTGAGGTTGCAGCTCACACCTGAGTGGGCAACAGAGAGGTTCATATTTATTCGCTCCTTATAAATGAATCATAGCAGGGTGAATATGTGATGTTTCATGGTGACATGCAGATGTGTCACCTTTTCAATTAGAGGTTCAAATCCTATTGTTTTTGTGCCTTTTTTTTAACTTCCCAAACATTTTTTTCAAATCCCCATGAGACTGTATGTCGTAAACAGTGAAACTTTCACCAATGACTGGAAGTTGTCAAATGCTGTTTTACAAATATGAACCACACTGTCCTGACAGGGGCGCTATAACAAGGGTCTAACGCTGCAGTTTTGGAAAGGCTATGCAACACACATGGTGAGTCTGACTGACTTGAAATTCGACACACGTCCAGTTCGATGTGCTTTACAAAAGGCCCAGAGAGCAATTTTCGTCCGCATGACTAGATTTTTTGATATTTTGATTTTGCTGAAAATCACATTTTTGAAATCTCTTCCTAAACTGCACGTCAAATTCCTACCAAATGTTCTGTGTATCAAAACAACACCAATCTCGTCAAAAGTTGTTCATGGGCTGACCTAAAACCAGATCCTGTCACTCCGTTCGTAGTCACCTTCACAGCTGAATGAAGCACCCTACATCAAGGTGTAGGTGATAAATACAGAGGCAAGCTTTGAGATACTCTTCCCTCTCTGTGGCAGAAAAAGGAGCTGTTGTTATATGTTGTAACCATGGAGACATGCAAATTACTCCCATTTTATGTTATTTATATGTATTTGTTTCACTTTTATGTGATTCATGTTGCTGTTTACTGGAAATTTAGTAGCACATAGTATCCTTTTGCCATTAAAATAAATAAATGAATTGATAAATAAGTACATAAATAAACAAATAATTAATACATAAAAGGGTATAAAACTTATCCCTGAGATTCACTGGTGACAATTCTTGTCTTTTACTATTGTAAACATCTTGTTTTTCATTCTGATGTTTATAAGCTGCTCATTTTGCAACAGTTCCTTTAACACTTCACTGTGAGATTAACACGACTACCGTTTTGTAAAGACATGGAGAGGTGTAACTTTGATCCTAAACTCTGTAGAATTTAAGATGTTAATATCTGTATGACAATATTAAATTTTAGTTTCCTCGGGGTACTGTATTTGTACGGCGCTTCTTTGATGACGAACACAGTTTTATTTTGCACATGGTCAATAAGTCGCCTCTGAACAGGCTCGCTGTCTGGAGGATTTTATAACCCACTTCCACTCCTAATTGGTTTGGGGTTGCACTTAATGTGGCGGACACTCCGTGTGAACACTGAAACAGAGCGTACGTGGATAGGGAGAGGCTTTAGAAGCTGGTTTGGAAAAAGGCCTAATTGCATTTTTAAGATACTGACCGATTAACTTTAACTGGGGTGAGGCTCAACACATGAACAGACCTAACTCCTTAACGTTGGGGCCAATCATCAAAAATCCTGCAGAATATGTCCACATAAGTATCTGAAACATATCCTAAAAGTTTCATTTAAACTGACAATGAGGGGATGTTGCAAATGTAAAAAAAAATGGGTGTGGCATAACATAAATCAAACTACAAATCAGAAAATATTTATCCAGTCATCACAATGTTGAACCATGTGTGTAAAATAATTTTTAAATCACCCAATAGAGGGCACTACAGAAGCGTACTGCATTCACTTGACAAATAAAAATCTGTTTTTCTGGGTAATTTTTTGTTTTTCTGAGTGTTTTTTTTTTTTAGTTAAGAGAGCAATAGAACAACAGACACTTTCATTCCTTTCTTGAGAGCTCGATATAATGGAAGCAAACATGACCTGCTTGTTTAGTTTAATCCAGTTTTACTTTGTTTTGGGTTTGAGACACTGGGAGACACTCTTGTCTTTAAGTCATATAGATGGTGTTATCATTAGTTTGTCAACTTTATGCAGGCACCTTAAGACTTTGCGGTTGTTCAGACGACAAGCCCATTCAGATCTGCTGAGCAGTGCAGTGTTTCTCCACAATCAGTTGGACACATAACCCAAAACAAAGTAAAACTGGATTAAACTAAACAAGCGGGTCATGTTTGCTTCCATTATATCGAGCTCTCAAGAAAGGAATGAAAGTGTCTGTTGTTCTATTGCTCTCTTAACTCAGAAAAAAAATACTCAGAAAAACAGAAAAAATTACCCCGAAAAACAAAAACAAAAATTACCACGAAAAATAGAAAAAAAATTACCACGAAAAACAGAAAAAAATTACCATGAAAAATAAAAAAAGAAATTACACAGAAAAACAGAAGAATAAAAAAATTACTCCAAAAAAACAGAAAAAATGACTCAATAAAACTGATTTTTTTTTTTTTAATTTGTCAAGTGAATGCAATACGTTTCCATAGGGCGCCACCAGTTTAAAAAAAAAGTGCATTGGCCTGGTGCAAAATTTGGCCATAAATTGACGACAATTTCTCCAAACATCATCAGACTTGGTTGATATTTGTAATAAGCTGCTGAAACATGGCCTGAAATTGTTTTCGCAACTGACTGATTGGGGCTGACAGCGTTGGCGCAGAAGGGCGTGGCCTGGCAGAGACATGGTCTCAAATGAATCAGGGTCTGTCTCACCATCATAAAACCGGTTAGTTATTCCTGTAAGTTATTCCTGAACCTGTAAGTTCTTTTCACTTCTAAGGGTCTTTGCTGGCTTAAACCCCAGAACTTCAGCTTGTGGACGTATCCATCATTTTCTTCACTATTGTGCTCTGTTTTTCATATTTATATCATTCATTTTTTTTGTATTCCAACCCTTTTTTTACATCATCACACACCCATTTGTCTTGAAAATGTTCCCGTGAGATTTAAGACAACAGACAAGATTGGACTCACTTGCTAAATTTGATGGAGGACAGGATGTGTTCAGGCCCCAAGTCTTTAGTCGTCTGTGACAGATGGAGACATCACAGTGAGACTTGAAACATGAAACCAAGTGTATGTTGTGCGTAGGATATGTTGCAAAATAAAAAATATATATTATGCAAGAAATGAGGAGGATTTGCTGTGCGTGAGTGATCCAGCATGGTCAGCTAACCTCTGTGCGGGCCTCTGCAGGGTGATGAGTGATAGTGAGGGTTCGGCAGCCTCTCCCCACACGCCCAGCACGCGTGGGGAGAGGCATTCTGGACCAGCCCGCTGAACTGGGTCCTCCTGCCTGAAAGTCTGGGCAGCTGAGGCCTGTTAACCAGACGAAGGGACATAAATACGAGGAGCAGAGAGGACAGGAGAAACAGAGGGTGGCAGACGAGTGACACAATGTTTAAAGATGGACACCATGTTCATGGAAACAAAACAAAACAGATTCTTCTTCTCTTTATCCCACACACAGCACTTCAGTGGTTTGACTCACAGTCTAACAGGAGAGAGGTTTGACTATCAATAAGTTTTATAACCAACTACATCCTACATGAAGCTGAAATATAAAGACTACACACACACACACACACACACACACACACACAGAGTCAATAGACAGCAGAGGACCCACACACAGAAGTTGCTTCACAAAGGGATAGTTTTTATTCCAGAGGTTAAACAGAGAGGCGGTAAAAGACAGCAGCACATTCAAGAAGGTGATATTCTGTTACACAGACAAACACTGAACTACCATACCGTCGTCTGGTATAGAAGGTTAGCACCACATTGAAGGAAACGGCACAGTTCTCATAAGGAGCATAAAGCAGAGAAACCTAGTGAGAATGTGACTATGCATACAGTGTGTTCCCACCTAAAGCTTCCTTACGGTATTTTGGATATAAGCTTTAGGACTGACACAACCGGGAAACAGGACGTTTAAGTTCACAGTGAGAAAGCAGAATGAAACTACAGTACACTTTCTACAGTTGTCAGGGCACTGATCTAGAGTCACTGCGTTGAATGCAGCAGGCAGAGCAAACGTGAAAACCGTCATCTTAGTGATATTAAAGGAGCACTGAGTCAGATTTTTATGTCCTCAGAGAGCGTCATGACCATCACATTTACAGTTTGAGTTTCACTCCTGCTCAACTTACAGGCATTTAGTCCATATTAGAAAACATTTCCGAGAGAATCACTGGCGTCACTTTTAGTTTGATATCTCTGATCAGCGACAACAACAAAAGTCCTAATACGCCCCTTTAACTTAAAGCTGGGGTAGGCAGTTTCATTTTGGCGTCACTGGGCAAGCATCCCATATAAATTTTGACCATATTGTAATTCAAGTGGACTGAGACAACACTAGACTTCCTTCTCTTGGCTCTGTTAAGAAGAAAATGTTAAGAAAAGGCCGTGACAAGAGACTTTGGCCAATCACAGGTCATTTCAGAGAGAGGGCGTTCCTATTAGCTGATCTACAAATGCAGATGTGTGTGCACGTCCCTTCAGTGAAAGCCTGATTTAATGGCGGAAAATTCTGCAGAGAAAGTTACTATTCCAGCATTGGCAAAAACTGCCTACGCTGCAAAGCAACCCAAAAATGGAAAGCGGATTTATCAAATAGTGAGACGACAACAGAGTCTGACAATAAGTAAAATAAGACCGTTGTCAGTTTTGGCAAAGTTATTTTAGAGATAGAGAGAAAATGTTGCTAATAGTTTAGCCTTCTGATAACCGAAGCTAAAGGCTCACAGTTGCTACTGCATGTTAATGTTTATCTAGCTATCGTTAGCTAGAGCCTTGGATCCCTGTGTGTCCTCTGCCTCACTCTCCACGACTACAGACCAATTTGCCGGGAGGAGAGCAGGCAGCAGCCCCGGAGGAATGGACTGCCGTGACTCCCCACCAGATCAGCAAGTTTTCTGTTGCTGCCATTTACACAGGTTAGACATGGTACTGCTGCTGACCACCAGCCCGCTGTGACCAAGTGGCAACATCAGAAGCCGAAAAATAACGGCAACATGGAAGTACCAAGGACTGCAGTTCTTCAAATGGCCTCTTGAGGCCCTGATCACACAGAAAGTGTTGTAGCAGCTGGAGGCGTGTTTTTGTAATTGATGTTAATGAGAATGAAGCTTTTTGCTTGATGTTTTTATGTTGCGATGCAAACTGCGTGTCTGCACTCTAAGCGCCTGGTGTTTTTGCCGGAGTGTTCTGAACTTCTTAAGTTCAACTCAGAGCAGAAAAATGCCTCATGTCATCTCCGCCTTTTCCCCACTGTCCATTTGGATGATTTGAGAGGTTCTGTGGTGGTCGCGACAAGTTTACAGCTGGCAAACACTGGAGGAGAAACTGGTGGTAGCAGTTGCTGGATACACAGAGCTGTACAGCCTGACGACAGACAGGCATCTTAAAGTCATCTTAAAATATGCCTGGAGATGGCCATTATTAAGACGAAGCTCCTGGACCAACTGGTGGTACTCCCCATGATCCAGCCTCTTTTTAGGGTCTCATGTACCCACACAGATCTCTGTTTATCTGCTGACAGCCTCTAACCCTCAACCACAGCTACAGACAGTACCCTCTGCCTCAACATATCAGGAACTACACACTGATTACTGTCAAATAAATAAATAAATAAATAAACAGTGTATTGATTACACAGCAATGTTAGGAGGTGATGGGTGGCTACCTGGCAATAAAAAGGTACAGCAGGCATTTTTTTTTTTTACTAGTGGCATTCGGTTAAAAAAAAAAACGGCAGTGTGGCGCACCTCACATTTTACAACCTGTAAAACGCATTCTATGAGATCAAGGCCTAGGGCTGGCTCACCTTAGGGGCTGGTCACCCCTTTACATTTTATTAAGGGCCCAAAGTTACCCATATTTAAGGGCAGGGCTGCTTGAGTGACAGACTGTTTGCAAGGTGTTGCCACAGTCGCTGCAGTCTGCGAGTCTGATCCACCCACATCTCCCTCCTTCACAGCTCCAACCTCTCATCCAAGTATGGTCACTTCTGGCTCTAAAAAGCAAAGACAGCGACGACCAAATTGCTCAACTTGGGACTTCAAAATGGCAGTTCACAAACAAATGGCTGACATCACGGAAGCTACATCCACTATTTATACAGTTTATTTTCCAGTCCGAGCTGCAACCTTCAGGGCTGAAAAATGAAGCCAACACAGAAGTGCCAAAAACTGCAGTTCTTCGAACGGCCACTTGAGGCTGGCTCCAAGAGCGAGTCAGTCCCCACAGACCCCCGTGTTAAGATGCCCAACTTTACAGCGGAAATAAACATGTTTGCAGCCTGGTACACAGTTTTGGTCTCCACAGCTAATTCCTACATTCAAGACAACTGTGCGGAGGGTGAATCTTTAATATAACTCACCCGTTAAATGTTATTAAGGCTTAAAGTTCACATAATTAAGGGTAGGTGGCTTTAAGTCAGATCCACCCTTCGCTGCTCCACAAACCAATGGGTGACGTCACGGTAGCTACATCCATTATTTTGGGGGTTTGCACTGGCCGAACAAAAGCTGCTACAGCTCCTGACCAACGGTTCATCTTGGGAGCTGCTGCCTGCTCTCCTGCTCTGGAAAGCAGTTCACAGCAGTAGGAAGCAAGCTGGAGGGACTGTGGGGTGGCTAATTCTTGTCTCATTTGTGGTCTGATAACGAGAGAGGGCAGGGGGGGCTAAGCAAGTACACTGTGAGCCACACTACAATGACAAAAGATTAAATAAATCAAAGTGTGGCCGTGGTTGTCTGGTGGGAGGGGCTTAGGACAGTGAGAGGAGAGCTGCAGGAGGAGGATGTTTTTTCAGACTCTGCCGTTCTTTCACCTTTTCCAGATTTCTGCCTACCCCAGCTTTAATGTCCAAACATGATCTGCAGATATATATATATATATATGTGTGTATATATATTGTTTAACCGTACAGTGTTTTAGGCCTGTACACTCAAAAAGCCACTAAATTATAAATAAACTGTAACTACTTCTTCCTGTTTTTTGCAACCTGTAACGGCAAACAAAGCAGATGAGGGGGCAGGATGAATAACCTACCAAAATATAATCCAAGAGTTCTGGTTAAAAAGAAAATTATCAGAGCCTCAAAAACCTACTGCCTACAACCGACATCAGAGCAAGGCACACCATAACTACAACGTCACAATGCAGTGGAACAGACGATAGCTACAGCGAGTTTAAGGCTATTTCAAGCCAGTCGATTCATAATCTGGTTTTTCTGCTGCTCATAAAATCTCTCCAGGTCTCACACGCTTTGCGTCTTCATCTTCAGTGCATCTAAAATGGCTGGTCCTAAAACACAGACCGTCATCAAGTACTCGGATGACAGCACATAAAACTGAATTAAACTGACTGAACACTATAACTCCACAATCGATATATGAGGCTTACATATAGACCGGGACAAGATAATATTTTCTCACCTCTGCTGACCACAAATTATATAAATGTAACCATCGATAGCCGACTAAGCACCCGCCAGGTTCGCTTTACACTAAAACACAAATGTGCTTGAATAAATAATGATCATCGTTTTCTTCACCAGTTTGATGAAACATGTAATAAAATTAAAAAACTCTACAATTTATTTACAACAAATTAAATAATGTAATTATATTAGAAAAATTCTACGCACGGCTGTGACTCAGTCAGACTGCTCACACGCTGGACCAAACAAAGATATGATATTGCTTGTTGGCAAACTGCTCCATAAATCAACCCTTTTATCCCAAAGCAACTCAGCGATGGTCCACATGAGGTTTCTGGCAGTAGGCTACACTGTGAGCATCATAATGTCAGGACCAGCACTGGACTGACACTGGAATGATACAGATTTATAACGAAGAAATAAATCACTGGCTTACAAAAAAAATAAACGACAGTCCTTTCAGTCACAAGAAAATAGAGTCTACAGTCTGAACTGACTCCAAATATGACTAGAAGTGGACGGTGTGATCAGCCTGCACTGTTTTACATATAAATATGAAAGAGGGAAAACACATTGAAAAGGAAACAAAAGATAAGAAGGTGCTTTAAAGGATTTCACAGGAACAGAAGACACTCTGTGTTGAGTCTAATTCTGCAAACCCAATTTCAATAAATAATTCAAAACTCTGACTGCAATACGGCAAAAGTGAAAGTCTATCATCCGAACTGGAGCTGATCATGAACAGGTCCAATTAAAACAGCAGCTGTGTGGAAAGAATTACATCTTAACACTGACAGGTCTGACTATTTCCTAAATATCTGCACAGTAACATGATACGCTCCTCAGCTTGTTACATCTTTACAGACTGAATAAAGAGACTTTTTCATTGTAGTGTAATCCATTAGTATAACATCTCCAATATTAACTGTAGATATATACTGAAGTGCTTTGCATTCACAAAAAAGACACTTTATATGATAGTTATGAGTTACTGTCTCGTAATTATACGAGACACTGGAAAATATTAGTGTTACTAAATGTGGATGGATTAATATTAGTATGTCAGCACATTCGTCGCTTTGTGCAGAAAAACAAAACAAAACAAAAGATCTATCAGGAGTTGCACCTTGTCAAAATAAATCCAAACCTATATGACTGGACCATGTGTGACTTTAATTTGAAAGGACAGACACAGGAAGTGTCCTCGTCAGGTAGTCAGGTGAATTTCCAGGGCTGGTACCTGCGGTTATTCCACAGGCTAGTTAATAACATGTCGGGCAGGAAATCCAAAGTGTGGGATCATTTTGAGAAGGTGAAGGACGAACCCAAGGTGATATGTAAACTCATCTTCATTGGTCGACTACAAACATGACGTATCATCTGAAACATGGAAGTAGCTACATGCCCATTAGCCCACAGCGTCATTAACAGGCGGCTCGCTCAGTGTGTGACGTGCACTTGAAGATAAAATATAGGCCTATATTAATGAAGGTTCATTAGTACGGTTTGTATTTCACTGTAATGTAGCACAGTGTTAACAATGTTACTGATACTATTCTTTCGCACACCTTCAACTCAAACCACCAAAATATATCATTTAATCATTACATTCATATCAGAAACATGCAGGAGACTAGTCGACTAATGGCCCTAAATGATGACTACTGGTCGACTAGGAAAAGATGGAGGTAAGTTTACCACAGTTCACATTACCCACAGTTATGATACAAAGCTGTTTGAAAATTGGCAAAGTATCCTTTCAAACAAATATTGGATGCTTCATGGATCTAAATTTATGCATTTCCAAAGATTAGGATCTTAGAATTACATCTTTCATTTTAATTATAAGGTAGTAACTCATAATTACAAGATAAGGTGTCTTTTATGAATCCAACACACTTCCATAGATCTATACTGTATTTTCTGTAAGTCCTGAGGGACAGTGGAGGTTACGTAGACAAGCAGCTGTCTGTCTTTGCTAAACACGTTCACTAACCGGTCTGCAGGACATCCACAAGAACAGTTATTACCAACAGTGTAATAAGCAAAGCTTGATTCATGGTTCGTAATAAAACAAAAAACATTTTTAAACACATTTCAGTCACAATTGAGTTTTAAGGAACATTTGCACTCTCAAGTGTTATTATTCATCCTAAGGTGCTAATACTGTAGATACATGTCGTTACACAGATATGTGTGGAAGGAAACACATAATATCTGATGAGAATTTAGCTTAGCACCAGTAATGTTTCAGACACACACACACACACACACACACACACACACACACACACACACACGGGATCAAACAGTGTACTGACCCACAGTACCTGGAGTACCAGGCAGGTGAACGTTTCAGTAGCAACAGTCCCTTGTCTGGTACTCCAGGCAGTTTTAAGAGCTCACACTCACTCAGTCCACCCACACACACACTCTGCCCAAGCTCTCACAGGTCAGGTTAGATTGAGTCCTGGGTGGGCCCAGCTGGAGTGTTGGTGGGTGGCGGGAGGCCCTGAAGGAGCAGGGGGCTCAGTTTGGAGAGCAGCCCGGGGCGGGGCAGAGCCTGCAGGGAGGGGAGCAAGGTGGAGAGGCTGGGGGACTGGAGGGAGTACAGACCTGTCATACTGACGGAGGCTGGGAGGGGACAGGAGCCCGCTGCACACACAGAGGAAGACGAGGAGGAGGAGGAGGAAGGGGGTGAGAGTGGGGGGCGGGAGGGTGTGTGGCTGTTGCTGGGAGACCGTAGGATGGAGCGGTGGTGGGGGGGGCGTCTCTTCTCCTGAGGCTTAGGGTCTACAGAGAGGGAGACACACACACACACACACACACACACGCACACCAGCTCAGAGACATGCGGGGAGTGGGTGCACATACAAACGTAAAGTGTCCTTCACATGAGCCATGTGCCGAGACAAATAAGACGCTCAGACACTTTACGTGAGCCTGTTCATGACATGTAAGTCAGAATCTGTACGAGGGTAAAGATGCAACAGTTGGGTGTCCGGCCTGGTCCACGCGGTCAGTGGTGTTTTTATTAACAGGATTTTCCCCTCCACTGTTCTCAAAAACAAATCTCATCCACACAAGCACCGTTTAAAGGCACCGTTAAGAGCATGGCAAACCAAAAAGCGGCAATATAACCCTAACCATGAAGAGGCTGGCCAATCAGAAGCCTGAAAAAAGGCATTATGAAGACTACATGAAGCAGTGACCTCCGCAGCTCATTCTGATGCCTCTGTTCATCAATATAGTGGAAGAGTAACTGTGGGGGCGACATGGTGGTGCAGTGGTTAGCACTGTCACCTCACAGCAAGAGCAGACCTTATGTGTGAAGTTTGCATGTTCGATGCCGATATTATATTATCGTGCATTAGGCTTCTGCCGATTTCCGGTGTAACCGGTTCAGTCCGGTTTAAGAGCTCCACCCGGTTTAATTCACGTCAAGCGGATAAACCGGGGGGCAGGACGCTATATCTGAACGCCCCCATTAGGGCTGTCAAAAAAAATTCGAAGTTCGAAATATATTCGAATATATATATTTTTTATAAGTTCGAACCTAAATTTGACAATTCGAATATCATTAATAATTAATTAATACTATCAATAATGTTGTATATCACGGGAATCCCGTTCAGGCGGAGACGGCTTGCACACAAGCCGGGCCAGAGAGGGACGCAACGATGGAGGGAGAGGCGCCGACGGAGGGGCCCGCTGTGCCAACACCACCCACTGCGCTGTCCGTGATGTGTGACCTGTCCGGGGAGACATACAGGGAGAGTGTTGCACCTGCTGCCTCCCTGCCTACCCTTTCTGAAGAAGAGATGAAACGTTACCAGAATGAGACACCACTACGAGCCGGCCAGGATCCACTCTTGGTGGAAAACTACGCACTGAAGTATCCAAACATTGCTCAGATAGCGAGGCAGAAGTTGGTCATACCTGGCACTTCACTGAGGTCAGAATGGGTGTTTTCATCCGAGTGTCACGTTCATGTTGCGTCAGCAATAAGCATCTTATTTTTTGTGTTTTTTTTTTTTTAAATAAAAAAATAAATAAATTTGAATATTATTCAAACTCTACTAAATTAATATAAAAATATTCGAACTCAATTTCATGGTGCTTTTGACAGCCCCAGACGGCCCGCCTTTGTCTTAGATAGGCAGGAAAACCCTGCCCCTATGGCCCCACTACCGCAGCCTAAGGAGGAGTGAAGTTTTCATCCCCAACAGTGAATTTGGTGTGAATGCTGCCATACGCCAAAAACTGAAGCCAAAAAGTTTTCACTGTCGACTAGGGCTGCAACTAACGATTATTTTCATTGTCGACTAATCTGACGATTATTTCTTCAATTAGTCGACTAATCATTTCATCGAAAAATGTGTTAAAATGTTGAAAAATGTCGGTCTGTCTCGCCCAAACCCCAAAATTACGTCATCTAATGTCTTGTTTCAAACTCAAGCCAAAGGGTTTTAGTTCACTGTCATGGGAGAGAGTGTAAAGCTGCCAATATATAAACGTAAAAAGCTGCAATAAGAGTATTTTGGGGTACTTTTATAGTACTTTTCTATGAAAAATGACTCAAACCGATTAGTCAACTACTAAAATAGTCACCGATTATTTTAATAGTCGATTAGTCAACTAATCGTGGCAGCCCTAGTGTCGACATGTCAACATTGAAAACATAGTTTCTGAAAATCTCCACTCTGGAAGGAGTTTTATAAAAGGTTTACTTTCAGTGACTTAAAATGCAAATTACATGTGGACGAAAGGTCAAAACACAAAGAAAAAGCTACGTTTTAAAACATACTTGTGTACATGTGGACTCAAAATGATGTCAGTTTGTTTCACAAAGTTTTTGTCCTAAATATTCAGTGTGGTCGTGGTGTCTTGGAACAAGGCTCATGTGATGTCATCAGGATGGGACTAATCTTTAAAGGTGAGAACATGTATGCACAGACAGCAGGAGCAGGGAGGGTCATGCTAAGGTCATGCAAGGGTCATGCCGATGTTCCAGGCCACAGAGATCCAGGATATTAATCCATTTATTCACGTCATAAAAAACTAGCTAATGCCAAAGCTGAGACCGATTACACACGACCATCACAATACACCTGAAGCTGTTTAACACACAAACATTGACACATGAACCTCCTGTTAGCCTTTTTAACAACTCCAACAGCAGACAGAGAGGATGGTAGCAGGAAAGAGAGAAACTAGACGACAGAATTTGTGATATTTAGAGAGAAACAGAGAAAAGCGTTCACCTGGGTTCACCCAGGGAGAGGTGATAGAGAATGCCAGCCAGCAACACAAGCAGATGGATGAGGGATCATCTTACCCCTGACTGGCCCGAGTGTCTTGTTGCCTCCGCGTCCGCTGGTGTGCGTGCCGTTGTGCTGTGTGTGTGTTCGGGCTGGGGGGCAGCCAAAAGTAAAGCTCGGGGAGTTGTGCATCTTCGGGGAGGGCGTCTGGCTGCTGCTACTGTGGCTGTTACAGCGAATGCGGCTGAGCGTGTTCTCCGACGCTGAGCCAGACAGACAGCTGCTCAGAGGATCAAAACAAACACAGAAATCCATCAACCAAATGTTTCATGTGACAAATACACGAGAGGAACTGAAGTTTGTCTTCTGTGTTTCTGGGGTTTAATAAAGACGTGTGTGTAAACTCACTTGTTGAAGCTCTTTGGCGGTGACACCTTGCTGCCATTGTGGTGTATTCTCGGTGGAGGATGAGCGTTGATTTGTGTGTTCAGGCCTTTGGTGTTGCGGACGTGTTTGAGGATCCAAGCTCGAAGGTTCATCAGGCAGCTGTGCTCAGACAGCACCAGACGTGGCCACGGGTTACACTCCGCCATATCCAGGGCTGAGATCGCCACAGCACGCCCCACCTGATGAACAACATCTGTAAGTTTACTTCACAAGTAGAGCTGCATGATTATGGTCAAAATAATAATTGGGATTATTCTGATCAATATTGAGATCAGGATTCTTTACAACAATTATTCTGTGATTTTAGGTACAAAATATTTTAGATTTAATGTAATTTATCTTCCATGTTCTGCTACATTCCGGCTAATCGTACAAATCTTTGCATCAAAATAAGACTTGAATAAGGCTCTTCTTCACCTGCACGCAATTTTAACATCACCATCACAGTCGATCAGTTCATTTAATTGAGGGAAGCCAAAATTGTGATCAAGATTAATATTCTATTACAAGCACCTCATCTTTTAAGGTCCATTGGTTTGAAGATAGGGGCACCGCAGTTCAAAAAAGGAGTTTTGCAGTTCAAAAAACAACAATAAACATAACGTGCAGGTAGTGTGGAAACACAGCTGATGACAGGGAGTCAATAGCTTGGTATGTACTGTGTTAAAAAGTTCACTCACATACTTTAAAAACCTGCAATCCTTAAACAAAGAATCACATTCTTCTGTGAAAGAGAAGGAATGCTCGTACAGAAACCACTCCTGTTTTCCTACCTGTTCAAATATCTCTGGAGTGTATTTTGGAGGGAATGATGGCGGTGGAGGAGGGGTCGCTCGTCCGTTGTCATGACAAGCAGGTGGGATGGTGTTCATGGTTTTTCCTGTGTTGTAGTTGCACTCTAGAGTGTAGCTGGTGGGAAACCAATAACAGGAACATGTTGAAAACTACATTTACAGCTTGAGAAAAAGATGTCTTGAGAGTCAGATTACACTTGAGGTCATGCTGTAGGACTGAATATCAGCACGGCTGTGATTTGGTCATTGGCATGAAGTCACAGGCCGAGTGCCAAAGATAATCATGGTTGTGCTGATATTCAGTCCAACAGCACGACCTTGAGTGTGATATTGCTTTTATACAACAGCTCTACAAGCGCCATTTATTAATGGTAAAAAGTGGTAAAAGGTTATAATTTGTGAATTTATTCTGTAATTTATTTGGCTCCACCAACACAAATAGTTCTGCAGCTGGACCGGGACTGGACAAGTTTGTCAAAATTTAACATGAGTAACAGAACTCTGTGCTTTCAACAGTGGGATAGTAGATTTTCTTTTCAATACAGAAAGGCTTGTTTTTTACTCTCCAAAACTTCAAATCCATTGAAATCTGACCTGTGAAGCAGCCCTATGGCCTTGTGAATGGCCACCCGCCCGCTGCCTTCTTTAGACTGGCCGTCTCTCTTGTCCCGTGCGTACATGTTTTTCTCAGAGAAGTTACAGCCCAGGAAATCAAAGTGGGCAGAGTTCACAGCTATCAGCCTTGGATACAACATGTTCTCTACCTGCAGAGGAGAGAGGAGAAGTGGGGGGCACAGGAGCTCAGATTTATGACACAGAAAGTACCCATCTGCTGTGGCTGCTGTATGAGGACAAACAAATATGTCAAGGACACATTCAAAGGGTAAGTTTGGTACTTTTCAGCCTGGATGCTATTTTCCAGTGCTTTGTGTCTACGTGACTAATGGGAACAATATTTTTTGTAAGAAGGCTGCAGTCACTAGTAGTGAAACAGGCTACAGTGTAACCACTCTGGGCATATAAACGCTGCCAATTTACATCACTCAGGCTGCTTTCAGACCTAGAGTCGTCTCCTTTGGTCTGAATCAGGGACTCATTTTGTTCCAAAGTTGTATTATTGCCTAGAGTTGGTTCATGTTCTCACGGCAGCATTTACAAGCTTTGCGGAAGAAAGCTGCTCTTGATTGGTCAGAATTTGTGGGGAAAATCCAGGAAGTAAAGCAAACGTTGAAGAAGAGTACACTTGCAAGATAAATGTGACACGTTCTAATGTCACAGTGGAGGGAGGTTGATGCAGGTTGATTTTGGCGCTGCTCATCGTGGACTATATTGCTGTCATTGTTCATTTTAGTCAAACCATACAGTTTGAAAACGAGGCGCGGCTCCAACTAGAAAACAATGTTTTGATGCATTGGATGTGCTGAATGTGCATATTAAGGCAGTACAGGAGGAGGTGCACATTAATAATCCTACAGGACTGTAACATGCTCATGTTTAACCCAAACAATGTGTCATGTGACTGCAGTTGCTTCACATCCAGGTCGGAACACCTTCTCACCACAAACGAACCGCACCAGAGATCGTTTGTAACCGGACTGAGACCACCTCTTCAAGAAGGTCTCTGTCCGGTTGTTTTGGTGCACACCTGAGTGAGATTGCTGTGTTCACACCTGCCCAAACGAACCGCACTGAGGGGGCAAACGAGGGTAAACAAGGATAAACAAGAGGGCAGGTGTGAAAGCACCCCAACAGAGCTTGTTTTTGCCACTGACAGGCTCAGATTGTTATTCTTAGTGTCTGACAACATTATGGAAAGGATCCCTTCAGATACAGACCTTTTTATTAAAGAGTAAGGTCTTTTTTGTTTAATCAGAAACAGCCGTGAAATCACCGGACTCCATTTAAATAAACAGTCCCTATAGCGTGTATAGAGCCAGCACATTTTCTCATTTAACTGGGTGAATTAAGTTGTGGTTTTTTTTACCACTAGCAACTGCAGCCTTCTTACTCGATACTTGACCGTTTTCAAAAACAGTTGTTCCCATTTGTCACTTAGACAGAAAAACACAAGAAAATGGGGTCCAGGTTGAAAAATACCAAACATAACCTTCAATGAATTAAAAGAAACTCATTGCTACAAAAAAAAATTTACTAAATGTTATTTTACTCTTTATGAAGACACCGCAAAGGGAGGGTGCTCACCTGCTGGCTCTCATCAGGAAGGCTATTTCCATACATGAAGCATCCCCGTTTAGAGGCGTGGCCATGTAAGTCCACATAATAAGCCACACCCCCCTCCTGGGGTGGAATTGATTCCTGTTCCTGTTCCTCCACCTGTGGTTCTGTTACCTCCACAGTAACAGGAGCTACAGTCTCTGTGGAGCTTGACGAGCTGTTGTGGTCCCCCTTCCCCATCTCCGTGTTGACCCAGGCGTTTTCTTCCATCACCATGGGAACCTCTGCCGGCGCAGGATTTGCATCCTTTTCTGCGTTTCGTTGGTTTAAGCTGACTTCAAGCGCAGTGAAGGGCGGAGACTGATGCTGGTTGGCGGGTTTGATGCTGAGGGGCGGGGCCTGCGTGTGTGTGGGGCTGTTAGTGTGAGGGCTGGACTGTGTGTTGTGCAGGCGGTTGTGGGTGTGGTGGTAGAGCAAGAGTGTTTTGGCTGCATAGATGGAAGGGTGCAGCTCAGGGCTGGGGTTCAGGTACTGTCGGTTCAAGTTCACACCCCTGGAGTCAGTCCTGCAAAACAGACACAGGTAACTACTTCTTAAAAAACAGCCCTATTCTTCATTTCTCCGCTGCGATAGGTCTTGGAAACCCATGTTACATTGTGCTGCATTTAGTATAATTTAAAGGTCCAGTGTGTAGGATTTAGGGGGATATTAGGGGGATGGTGTCGTGGGTAGCATTGTCCCTTCAAAGCAAGAGGGTTCCTGGTTCGATTTTCCAAAAAGACAACATAGACTCATACAAAAGTCATAAATTGTCACTTATGACCCACCAAGAATGTGTGGCAGTTATTTCCTGGCAGAGACTCTGCCCTCTGCCTGTGTTTTCTTATTTTCCTCTTATTTTCCTTGACATTTAAGGGTGTGTAACCTCAACCAATAACAGCATGCAGGTGAGGTCAGGCTCAGGTGCCAGACCATAAGCAACACACATCCAAGAGGAAGCTACGAAACTCGAAGACACAGCTTCAAAAAAACACTGCAGACATAGCAAGGTGAAACTGCAAGCAGACGGCGCTCATTCCAAAAGGGGATGAGAAGAAGGGCGACATGGAGCTAGCCTAATTTCAGTTGGACAGGCAGGAGCCAGTGGTTAGCTTAGTTAAAAGTATTAGTATTAGTTAAAGTATTGGCTTTCCCATTACAACAAATGCAACGCTCCTACAACAGTACAGTAGCCTGCAGCGTATGTACAAGAAGCGTATGGAGGGAGGAGTCCGAATGTTGTATTACAAACACTAAGTGACAGTTAGTGACATTTTCTCTGCATTAATTACATAATGTTGTTTTTTTAGAGAAAGAGAAGATGGTACAGATGCACAACATGACATGTTTGATCGGCAGCAGAGGAAGCAGCGTCCCCTGACACACTGACAAAGTAGTGTCACTGTTAACTGATAGCCTCGAGACATCACTGTCTCAGACACAGTAACGCTGGTTTAACTTGTTTCAGCTGAAAGGGTCAACACGACATCCGACCTGGCTCTTGTAACCTCTGCTCCTGTTAATGCACTTAAATAACTAGGTTACAGTTTACAGGCTTTCTGCAGGAGCCTGCATTCTTAGATGTCATGTACATAAGAAAACCGGTTTATCCTTGGAGTAGGGGCTGAGAGAAACCTGGTTTCTCCAGCTAGACTTCTCCTCGAAAAAGTGGATTTCTTGGCCTCTTATACAGGTAACAGGGTTACTACTTAGTTGTTTTTTTTTGCACGTAAGCATGTGCACAACACAGAGGCACAGTGTTCACACAGATAGTACTGCTGTGACAGCCAAGCTGTGGGATGAAAGAAGCGGTCTTTACATGGAGCACTACATCCTCATACTCAAACTGATTTCATCCAAAGTTTGAAGAACTAAAGCTAACTCTATGTAGAAGTCTGAATATGTCGGTTAACAACTGGTCATTTTAATGTGTAAAATTGAGAAACACATACAAGCACATACAGTGAGCAGCAGCAGCAACCCAGGGGCACACCGCGAAGACAGAAACAGAGGGCTCGGCGGGGATGGATCACCTGCTGCAGCAAGCCAACACGCCGTCTGCGGTCATTTTGACTTGACCAGTGGACTTCACTACAAGCTCACTGGCTGTTGAAACAGGTGACATGCTTTATGTTCTAAAACCAACCGCCAACAATTTGCAGGAGTTGCAGGTGACACCATCAGCCAGCTTGAGTCGAGCTCAGACAGACCAGTTCACACTGCTGCAACTTTTCTCTGCAACGTCCTAAAACAGTTTCATCTCGTCGCAAATCTTTGGTGTGAATCAGGCTTTAGTGTAAGTTTGCTTACAGAGAGAAACTTACATTTGTGCATGGTTGTATTTTTTTGTTTAATAAGGAAAATAGGTGTAAAAATAGGCAAGAACTGAGTTCTCAAAGTAGTGAGTGTGACATTCCCAAGCCTTATTAGGAACAAGAAGTACATAAATCATCCATCCATCCATTTTCTAACCACTTATCCTCTTGCTGTGAGGCGACAGTGCTAACCACCACACCACCGTGCGGCCGTAGTACATAAATCAATGCAGTAGTAGTCAAGACAAGAGTTAAGACCAGTGGTTCCCAACTGGTCCAGCCACTTGGTCCAGATTTCTCCTTAGTGATTAGTTCGAGGTCCACACAGTTTAATACATTTAGCATCATACTTGCGTTTGGACGAGTCATCTAGTTAGTTTGCTGTCTCTGTAAAGTACCTGTCCGTTAGTCACTCACTCTACAGCATGAAACAGCACTTCAAATAAAAGCTCTGTGCCAGAAAGTCACTGTACTTAAAAATAAAGTGCATTTTTACACACTAGACACGTTTGCAAGGCCTATTCGGAATTGACCTGAAACCCACTTTTAGACTGTGACCCACCAGTTGGGAACCATTGGTTAAAACTAATCCAATCACTGGGTCAAAAGATGTTGACGTCATGAGGATGGTGCATGTGAGTACATGTGCAGCTCTTACCTGTAGTGTCCACGAACAACCCCGTCTGGGTTGAGCATTGGAATGAGCTTGAACACAAACATGTTTCGAAGGGCGTGAGCACGTGGGTCGTCTTTTCTCAGGATAAAGTTGAGGAAACCGTTGAACACAAAGGACGAGGGAGTCTCCCCAGGGTGCACTCGACTGCTGAGAAAAAACACCTGCAAACACACGTGGACAGACAAGGGCCAAGGATCAGCTTCACTGATTGGACACTATTCAGTTATTCCTGTCGACCTTACATGTCGTCACTAAAGCCAATAAAGGTGTCACACAACAAAGAGGACATTGATTGTGTGTTTGTGTGTGACTGAGTGGTACCCTTTTGCTGGAGAAGCGGTGCGGTCTTGGATTGTTGGTGTCAGGAAACAGTTTAGGCAGACGGGGTTCTCTCTCCTCTTCCATCCCGTTACAGTTGGTCACAGTGAGCAGGTCCACTCTATTGCCATCCAGAGAGTGGCACAGCAACTCCCGATGATAATACACACTGCCTGGGGTGCTGTCAGGGAGAGAGGGTGGAGATCGGTGAATCAGAAATTGGACAAATTAGAGGGGCAGGGGAAGATACAGGTAATGTATTGTGTGTGTGTTTTACCTGCTCGGACTGAGTTGAGCAGCGTTGGGGTAGCTCTTGTCAAACTGCTGCAGCATCTCCTGACACTCACTATAGGAGAATGGGAAGCAGAAGGAGAAGTAGGTGGTCGCCCCTCGCGTCTCCAGCAGCCGGTGAGTGAATGAGAGGATGAACTGGTTATCTATAATCTGAGGAAAAGACAGAGGAAATGAAGAAGACACACATTATGAGAAAGATAATAATAGCTGCTGTCTGGAAGCCAGACTGACAGCACCCTGTCTCACTGGCTCCTGACGCCTAAATCCTCTCCCTGACAGATTCTGAGTGTGTGTATGTACCTCACATGTGGGTCTGTCTCTGATCCTTTCCCACCGGTTCTTGCCAGGTAACGTGCGTACGAGCGGAGCCATGCCCTGGCTGTAGAGCTTCCTCTGGTTGTTCATGTTCATCACATTGATCTTCAGTATCTTCCCAGGTGCAGCACCTCGTACACTGAAGTAAAACCACGATCTGAAACACAAAAACACAATTTGCTTTAAGTAATGTAACTCAGTGTCAGGGTCATGTGCAGCGAGTAATCACAGTTACCCACAAAGATGCTGATGCCGTTTACCTGTTTCCATTCTCGTGCTCCGTGCCGCCGCAGTCTGGCTGCGTCCACACATTGAACTCATAGTCAGGGGTGAGATTTGACCCTGAGAGGGCACCCCCGCTGGGAGCTGTGTCAGTAGGAGGGCTGGAGCTGCCCTTCTCCACCTTCTCCACACGTGCCAGGTTCCCTGAGTCGAACTTGGAGCTGAACACAATGTTACCATAGCGAGCCTCCATTGTTCTGGACTCTGGCCTCTCACTTCTTTTTTCCCCTCAGGTTCTTCGTGACGTGCCAGTCAGAGGTCTGACATTGACGGCCTGTTATGAAATCAGACAAATGCAATTACACTGAGAAAACATTATTAAGAGGACAAAAAAGGTGTACTGCTGCTGGTGGAAAAATCTAGCATATGAGTGATATGAGGAACCCAAACAACAAGTATGAACTGTGACAAGTATGAACTAAAATTTTATGCCTCCACTAGTTCTGAGTAGCTACAATGCCGGCTGAAGATGTTTGGCAAAATCTCTGCACACCTGAATGTATGACAGGTGTGTCAGAGGAGGTGCAAAGCACAGAGCTCTTGCAAACTGTCTCACTAACTGCTGGAATTTTCTTTTATTAAAGTAATATTTTTTCCCTTCACACCTTATCTAGACATGTCTGATAACTGACAGAGTGTGCAGGAGCTCTTCTCTGTCTTCAGTTGCAGATACTTAAACTAAGGGCTGCACAATTAATTGAAATTAATTGAGAGCTGGAATTTTTTGATAAAGGTAAAATGTGTCACAACATACCATTATAAATGAAGCACTGTGGTACGACAGAGATACTCCAGCCTACAAATCATATCTCAGACATAAGGGAACATGCTTGTTTGGTACAGATCCCAGCAAAAATTAAATCATCTTCATTTTAATTCTTATTTTTTTCAATGAAAACGAAATGCAAAAATTATCATACCACTAAAAACACTTCTCATATCGCAATTTCTGTCCAAATAATCGCAAATGATTTTTGTTGCATGTCGTGCAGCCCTATTTGAAATTTGCATTATGTAGTAGAGCTAAAATAAGTGATCGATTACTCAACTAGTTGTCAACTAGTACATGAATCCCAAACTAGTTCTTAATTTTCTAAGAAAAAAAGGTACAAATTCTGTGATCACAGCTTCTTAAATGTGAATATGTCCTTGTTTCTTTACTACTCCATGAGGGTAAACTGAATATCTTTGAGTTGTGGACATAACAAGACCTCTGAGGACATCATTTTGGACTTTAGGACACACTTTTTCACCATTTTCTGACATTTTAAAGACAAAACAACTAATCAATTACTTGATTAATGAAAATAATCCCTAGGTACAGCCCTATCATGTAGTGTAGTCATTGGTGGATTACATAATGGTTCTACAAGGGACCCTTAACCCTTTGACACCTCAAGCAAATTGGCTTGATTTCTTTGTAAAACACAGGAAGAGGGCAATGAGCAACAAAAGAAGAAATGACCCCAAAAAATTAGAAAGAAAGAAATCAGTAAAAAGAAATAAAGTTTTAAAACAAACAAACAAACAAGGAAATGACCTGAAAAGAGTGCTTAAAAATTATAATAACTCTGTAACATAATTTCAAAATGTAATAATAATAATTATTATAAATATTATATTTTTCCCTAGTTTTTGTTTTTAAATAATTTCCTTAATATATATATTTTTTTTTTTTTTGCAATTGTGAGACAGTTCTCGCCAAGTTGCTCATTGCCTTTTTCCCATGTTTTTCCGAAAGGCCTCTTAAAGCAGCACAAGAAAAGAGATGTCGCTCCAGGTTTCAAAGGGTTAAGCCAGAGCCTCTGCATATCTCGTCAAAGAGCTTAGTCATCAGGTCAATAACAGGGTCCCAACAGTCAAAAAAGTGGTAGATGAAATAAATAAATGTCAAGATTTAAGATTAGGCAGGGTCATCATTCAGTGTCCTTGTGGCTACAGTAGGGCTCGTTGATATGTACCCAAAAATATATCACAATATTTTAGGCTGTATCCAGATACATGATATAAATCTTGATATTTTAAAATCATCAATGCTAGGACTGGGAGACAAAATAAAACAAAACACATGCGACAAAGTTGTGGGTATGACTTTTGTTTTGTTGTTTTTCAGACAATATTAACACAATGAGATTTTTGATCAATAATCATAAATAATGTATATATAACAAGTAATTGGGTAAAGGCAAGCATTCAAACACGCCAAAGGGTTTTAGTTCACCGTCATGGGAGAGTGTGTAAAGCTGCCAATATGTGAACATAAGAAGCTGCAATAAGAGTATTTTGGGGTACTTTTATAGTGCTTTTCTATGAGCAATGACTCAAACCGAATAGTCGACTACTCAAATAGTCACCGATTATTTTAATAGTCGATTAGTCATCGATTAGTCGACTAATCATTGCAGCCCTGATATACTGTCATATCTCGGTAACGATATAATAGCTTCATATTGCCCAGTCCTAGGTTAGGGTTGGATGTCACAGGATATAAACCATCATGACACAATTTAAATGAGTGTTAAGCCTCTCAGCTTATCAATGGGACTTCAATTTTGTGGGTGGACACAACAGGCATGTTGCACCTGCTTGCTGGGGAGGTGTAGAGGGGCCTGTTACCTGGCATCCAGGCTCAGGGGCCCACTGAGTCAAAATATCTTTATTTTAGACATCTAAAAAATAGGGCCTTGGTATCTTAACACCAGCCAGGAAATCAAATTTATCTTTAATGGAATTATAACTTGAATATATGTGGAAATCATTGCAGATAGTCACATCTGAACATCTTTAATTGGAGGCTTCATACTACGGAAGCGTACTGCATTCACTTGACAAATAAAAAAAGAATCTGTTTTATTGAGTCATTTTTTCTGTTTTTCGGAGTAATTTTTTTTTATTTTTCTGTTTTTCGTGGTAATTTTTTTGTTTTTCGGGGTAATTTTGTTTCTGTTTTTTGTTTGTTTGTTTGTTTGTTTTCCGGGGTAATTTTTTTCTGTTTTTGTGTTGTTGTTTTTTTTGTTTTCCGGGGTAATTTTTTTCTGTTTTTCTGAGTATTTTTTTTTCTGAGTTAAGAGAGCAATAGAACAACAGACACTTTCATTCCTTTCTTGAGAGCTCGATATAATGGAAGCAAACATGACCCGCTTGTTTAGTTTAATCCAGTTTTACTTTGTTTTGGGTTTGAGACACTGGGAGACACTCTTGTCTTTAAGTCATATAGATGGTGTTATCATTAGTTTGTCGACTTTACGCAGGCACCGGTCACTTGCAGGTGCCAGGTGGGAGCTTCTCGCGAGACTGTGAAGTATCTCGACTCCTGTTCAGGAAAAAAATTACACCAAAAAACAGAAAAATAAATAAATTACTCCGAAAAACAGAAAAGAAATTACTCAGAAAAACGTGGCTTTTTTATTTGTCAAGTGAATGCAATACGTTTCCGTACCATACATACACCAGCTTCAGTCCCAGTAATAAAACTGTAATGAGAAACATCATGAAGATGAAGATGGAAACCTGCTCAGATGCACAACAGCGACCACCGGAGGACACCAGTGAAACTACAATCATGGCCAGACTATAAACAATATTATACAGTTACACCCCAGTGTTAGTCATGTTCTCTCTGTAGCTATGGCGCAGATAAAAGCCTGTCTATCATCTGAGACAACATGTCTGCAGCTCTGTCCTGCGGGACAACACAATGGCTGCTGTTTGACTTCACTACCAGCAGCTAGACAGATCCATCAGAGTAATAAAGGGGGTGTGAAGTAACAGTAACAGTTAACGGCTGCTAGCGTCACCGTCGGCTAACAAGATGCTTTCCTCTAACACTATTTACACCATTACATGCTAGCTAATATCTAAGCTAAGCTAGCCTCAGTGTCCAGTGTCAGACCGGTGATGTTACACGAAGCTAATAAAGCTAGCAAACGTTACTAAGCTACCGATGCTAACTTAGCTACCGAGTTAGCTGTCGTTGCTCGTAACGTCACTATTAATGATGAATAAACGGTTTAATGTCGTTATAGTGTTAATATATTTAGCTGCACACACGCTTTAAGGTGAGACAATGCATTTTGAGTCTTACTGGCTATTTTCGTTTGATGTCCATTTTTGTTTTCATCGCCCTTCTCAGTCCACTGCTCTGAGCGAGGCGTTCAGGGTCCTCCGGAGAAATGAGCGCTGTCTGGAAATGTCGTCGCCTGTCGTTACAGTCACAAACAGGAGGTTGTTGTTGTTGTTGTTTACGGTCTGCGATTTGGCAAATGTTATTAAAATAACAGCTGTAGAAGTAGTTCACCTGTATAATTAGTCAAAGATTATAAAAGCAGCAGTTATATTCACACACACACCATTTTACACGAAGTGACAAATATTATTGATGTGACGCGACGTTCAAGGTTCATATTCAATTCCATTCAATTCAATAGAACTTTATTTATGGGAAATTCTTGTGTCAGAGAATGCTTCAATTACAGAAACAGTTCATAGACAAATTCAACATAATGCAACATACATACTGACCCATGGAGAGAATGACTGTCTCTCTGAACAGTCGGACACCAATTGATCTCTATGGGATATTATCCAGTGTGTGTTTACTTTGTATTTCATCACAGCTATCTATATCTATCTATCTATCTATCTATCTATCTATCTATCTATCTATCTATCTATCTATCTATCCTAATCATATAAGGACGTATAGTCGTGCAGGATATAATTAAGTTTAGTATTAGTGTGAGGACCCAGCATGTAAAAGCAATGTGTAGTGGTAAAATGGATATGCTTAGCAAAACTGTAAATAGATGCAAACAGTTTATAGAAAGGTAAAGTGACATGTCATATAAAGTGACAGTGACCAGAGTGATGAGTTCAGAGCTTGGTCCTAAGGCCTGAGGGATGAGGCTGTCCTTGAGCATGATGGTGCAGGACCGGATGCCGTGGTGAGATGGAGGTTGTTGTCCTGGCACCAAGATATCAGGGTTCTGACTTACTCTCTGTCGGCCATCTCGATGATGGTCTTGACCTCAGAAAACTGTATTTGGACTCTGTGTGGTGGCAATCATGTAGAAAAGAAATGAAAAAGAGTCCTCGCACAACTATAGAAGATAAAATGCACAATAAAGCAACTTAGCAAAACGCAACTCTCTTACTCCATCATTTACAGTCTTGGGCACTGGAAGTTTGAGAGAGTGGACTAAAAACCTGAAAAGCATTCCTGAACATTGCCCCCAGCAGAATTTGGTACTCTTGCAAAGACAGACTTTTTGACTTACTCCAAAATCTAAAACACAAGTTTGTCCTGCATAATATGATGTCTTGTCAACAACATCTTTATATTGCAAAGGTGAATGAAGATGATCACAGCAATAATAACTAGTGTCAGTTTAATTCCTGCTTCTAACATCATACAAAGGTTTGGGAGAAACTCTCAAAATGATAAACCACAGATGTTAATAATCTTTATCAGTAGGGTAGTGGCAGTGGAATGGGTAGGCTTTACTCCATTATATATTCCAATTTGATTGATAGGTGGGTATATCCTGTACACCTGCGCTTCCCCTCCACTACACCACTGATATTAATCAATTAGAGGTGGTTTGTGCCAGTGCAAAGTTTACTGCCCCTGATCACTGCCTCACAATCTACTCAGATCTATAATAAATAGGTATCTCTTGTGATACTTGTTGGAACACAGATACAAAACCCAGACAAACTAGTGCATGTAGTGATGTGACGTTCGCAAACGAGCCGAGTCTTTGAACCGGCTCTTTGAAGTGAACGAGTGAACCGGCTCTTTAGAGTGTTGAGAGAGACTAGTTTGTGAAGGAGAAAGACAGTGCAGCCGCTCACTCGTTCACTTCAAAGAGCCGGTTCAAAGACTCAGCTCGTTCGCAAACGTCACATCACTACTTGTTATTTATAAAGGCTGTTGCTATGGCTACACCAAACTTTATATCTGCGGAGTCTACTCTGGGTCCACATCACAATATCCGTGATGCGATAAATCACCAATGAGATTCGTCGTTGAACCCACCAACACCCCCCCACCACACACACAGAAAAAAAACCAAAACAAAACAAAAAACAAACAAAGGAACCTCATCTTTGAACCAGCTCTCACAAGTAAACAAGAAATCCCATCACTAAGTGCATGTCTTAAATTCACTTTATTTTTAAAACAACCCAAAGACACCACGGTGGTCTAGTTAAGGTAACGATTTCAGAGGTCTCGTCATTTGAAATGATTTTTCTGTCAAAATCAGCATGTTTAGCTGACCTGCTGTGATTACCATAAAGAAAAGGTGTGTGGAGGCCACTCTGGACTTCCGTAGGCTACTTACTCTCTGTTAGGGCTTAATTATCTCTGTAAGACAACAAGGAACAAGGAAAGGAACTTTAAAACAGTTGCTTAAAATGTCAGTCAAACTGTCTTAAAATTGGACGTATGTCTTTATCTCTGTGATATAAGAAACCTCAGTTGCTCTCTGGCCTTTAAATTAAGGCAGATGTGACACCTGCACTAATTACACATATCTGGCTAACACATACTTTACCTTTTTTTAAATACTTTCAAGCATGATGGTAAATTGTAAGCTTAGACATGAATTAACAGATCACTATACATGCTCCATGAATATATGGCCTTATACCTCAATGAGCAGCCACAAGGGGGCAGTGCAAACAAGCTGTGCACACTGACACATGATCCCCTTTTACTGTCAGTTGATGTGGTAAATTTGTTAACAAACTGACGTCTTTACACATCCAGTGGACACAGAGCAACATTATCTTAGATTTGAAGTCATTACTCCGGTCATCTGGCAAATACAATTCTAATATTCACTCTTTTTAGTTTGCTTGCTCTCAAATATTTCCTGAGGAAAAAAAACTTGGCTCTGTACCTGCTGACTGGTCCACTGTTTCCTTGTGACTCACTAACTTTGTCTATATTTATTGTCATCATATAAACAAATGGACTAATTTTCATTAAGAGCTTTAATAGAAAGCACAAGTAACAAAGACGTTTCACTGGTAAACATCTATGGATTTTCTCAAACAAACAAAAATACAGAAACAAATTGAACGCAGCCCTTAAATATACAGTTTAAGGTCACGTGTCTTTTTTCCTCTCACATGTCATCGTTTTCGGATTTGATCCTGTTTTGCTTCAGACAAATGAAAATATCTGAAAATGCTCCTCATGTTTTATTTGAGCTGAGAAGGTTGTGAAACAAGTGTGTCTCAAAGAAATCTGTGAACAAATGGTAAGACATCTATCTTTACAACTCCAATTATGAGACTGAAAACATGTTACTGCATTGTTAATACATTTCTAATACGTCCTGGCCTGAGAACTTACCTGAATCACCTATAAGTTTAAGTTAAGGGGCATGAAGCATGAATGTATAATACACGGTGAAGATAATGGATGAAATATAGACCTCACTGTTTTGACAGGAGCTGATATCCCTTCTGTCTTAGACCCAGATTTCTGGAAAGAAAAGACTTCTTCACCTCCTTCTCTGACAAGCTGAACGCTCAGGAAGAGGTCAAAGATATACAGGTCAGTCAAGTGATTCATTGTGTGCAGGTATGGGTGGATTATGAGATAACGGACCTCTGGGCACAGATATGCAAAGGGCCCCACCTCCGCTCCTACACAAGACACACAGACTTTTTTGTTGTTGTTTGCATCTATAAGGTCATTTTGTGTCTTTGTGGTTGTTTTGTGTCTCTTTGCATCTCTTTATGGTCATTTTGAGTCTTTTCCCAGTTAGTACGTTACAGTAATTTGACTTGTAGAAAAACTCCTGCACACCCTCTAACTTGCAACACTAATTATTTTAACGCTGCAACGTTTCTGTAACTAGACCTTCATCAGGCAAACAGGTTTTCCAAAAACTTTTTTGCAAGTTAGACAATGGAACAATGGAAGTTTTTCTACAAGTTGTGTTTTGCTCGTCCCTCTCCTACGCACCCATTTGGAAACAGATGTGCCAAGTATTCCTTTGTTAACAGTAATATGAGTGACATGTTGCAGATGAAGGCCAGGGTGGCCTCCGACACTTTGGGCCCCTGAGCCTGTGCCTGGTAGGCCAAGTCAGTAATCCATCCATGCACAGAAGTTAAAGGACATTTTTCTGCCTGTTACAAGTGAATGACAGTATTGCTGTCCTCAAGCCATTGAAGAAGCGTTTGTCACACTCATCAAACTGTCCGGTGATGGGACTGAGGTAATTTAACTAAAGAAAAAGGTGAAAACTGTCTGCAGCATTCCACAACGAAGATTTGTTGGCATGTGTCTTGATCTTTGTGTGATTGACTTAGTCTTTGCCCACGTGGCGTAAAAAAGACTGGACCTTCTGATTACGTGTGTGGAGATTCTCAGTCATCCAGGTCATGGTAATCATAAGTGCTGTATCGTAGGCAACTAGACTTAACTGAGTTTCTTGAAGAAGTTTCACCACTCATCCAAGAGGCTTCTTCAGTTCTAACAGACTGGTGTGGAGTCAAGGGCTTTAAACTCTGTGTGGGTGTGAACCCTTACAGAGTTGTTAAGGTCACATGTGAGTCGTTGACCCACCTGGCCATCTTGTGTGTCGTCAGGGTCAGATGGGTCCACCTAACCCTAACCCGACCCTAACCCTAACCCTAAGGTTAGGTGGACCCATATAACCCTAACGACACACAAGATGGCCCGGATCAAGAAACATCTTCAAGAAACTCAAGCAAGTCCAGTTGCCTACGATATAGCACTATTGTTGAAGGGCACAGATCAACACTACGTCAGGGGACTCAGTGGTGAGAGTCAGATTAAAGATCACAACTTTTTATGAAATCCTGCAGCAATAGTATCTGAAAATTGTATTCTTTGCTTTTTTTAAAGACTATTTTTTTTACCTTTTCGCCTTTAATGAGAGGACAGTTTTGAAGCATGACAGGGAGAAACAGAGAGAAGGGACGACATGTAGCAAAGGCCCTGGGCTGGAACTGAAGCCACGGCTGCTGTGGCAAGGACACTGCTTTTGAGCCTTTAGCACCCGCCGACCTCCTCAGCTACTGGGCGCCCCAGTTGTATTCCTTTCTTGTAGGCTACAGAGTACAAGAGGAGATCCTCAGGCCTGAGCCAAACGTTTATAACTTCAGGCTCGCCCTGAGAGCCA